TTTACAGCGGTAAAAGCGGCCTTTGGGACACCGCAGGCTGTAGCATACATGGGCGCGCGAAAAGAAACGCCCCTTTTTCGCAGTGAGAGATAGGACGACTGCGCAGTTCCCGTTTTCCACTTCGGGTGGCGCTCTTATTTTCGCAATCTCGAACTGCAACCTTTAGGTTCACATGTGTAGTAAAAACTCCGGAGTTAATGAGTAACCTAGTAATAACTATAAAATAGAACAAAAACGTTCATTTAGGTAGTACAGCCCCCAAACGTTCGGATCGCTGCGGTCACGGGACAGAAAAACCGCGAAGTTTCACCCCCCTGGCGTCAACGCGTGCGTATATAGTGTTCCAAAACGCGCGAACACAAATTACCATGCACAACACAGGCTTAAGTCTAATAGGGCCGCATTCGTTGGCGGGCGTATGATCGCTGCTAATTCACCTTCCATTGATTGATATGTGGGGTTTAACGTCCCAAAAGCACCATTTTATTATGAGAGACGCCGTAGTGGAGGGTTCCGGAAAGTTCGACCACCTGGGGTTTTTCAACGTGCACCCAAATCTGAGCACACGGGCCTACAACATTTCCGCCTCCATCGGAAATGCAGCCGCCGCAGCCGGGATTCGAACCCGCGACCTCCGGGTCAGCAGCCGAGTACCTTAGCCACCAGACCACCGCGGCGGGGCCTAATTCACCTTCCAGACTACACAGCGTGTGCTGCGTGCAAGACTTCGTCAGTGCAGTAGGGGGAAAGAATTATAATGAAAAATATTTCAGGTCACTTTACGCATCACCTTTCCACTATTAGACACAATGACCGACAAGCCTTCATATGCGCTAAACAGATGCCATAAAAATTGGTTGTTGTCCCTTTACTAATTTACATACCAGTGCTCTCTCTCTCTCTTTTAGCTTATACAGTTTTTCAAAAGTAAAAAAAAGCCATGAAAGTAAGCCATGGAGTTTACGTTCAACTCTATACGGCGAGGCGAGAATACTCTGCCGCTGCTAAAGTTACCAAGAAAACACTAATTGAGAAATAGATGTAACGGTGCTCGACTACTGAGGCGAAAGTTGTGTGCACGACCCCGGCCATGGCAATATGGCCGGGGTCGCGTTCGTCATTTCGCGTCCGTCGAAATGCGATATCGCATTTCGACGGACGCGAAATGTTCGAGGCCCGTGTACTGTGCAATCCCTCCACTGTATACGGTTACCACTACATATCATGCCTTTCGGGACGCAAAATACCGGGTATTGGTAAAACCGCCCGCTCCTCCGCCAAAATGTTACGTGAAGGCACTCAGGGAAACAAGTCGCATTTACAGTGTACTTACATATACACCGACGCGCAAGACGAAAGCGTGCACCCGACACATCACAATCACGTCGTCTTCTTTGGTGCCTATCTTGCTGCTTCAGCGTGAAATAGTCTTATAATAACATTATTATTGAGATAAGCATAACACCCGTCTCGATGGTCCAGTGGCTAAGGCACTCGACTGCAGCTCGGCCATGGCGGCTGCATTTTCGATGGAGGCGAAAATGCTTGAGACCTGTGGGCTTAGAATTTAGGTGCACGTTAAAGAGGTGGTCGAAATCTCCGGAGCCCTCCACTACGGTATCTCTCATAACAATATGGTGGTTTTGGGACGTTAAAACCCAACAGTTATTATTATTATTATTATTATTATTATTATTATTATTATTAGTATTAGTATTATTAGTATTATTATTATTATTAAATATACATAATCGAATTCCAAGGCCGTGATTCAGACAATATCGTAATAGAGATCGCTGAGCTCGCTTACGGGTGACTACTCTGTTACGTAAAAGAAAACGCCCTATAACAAAAAAAGTGACGAGATTTGAATGACAGCACGTCGCAACATAGCCAGCTAAATCAGCGCCACCTTACATTAAAGTGCGCCGCTTACAACATGCGCAAATGAAGCTGGTCAAAATTTCTGCAAAAAAGAAAAAAAGGTTCTGCAACTGCTGTCCTGTAGCTTTATGATGTAGTGACTGAAAAAGGCAAATGGTGGTTTTTTTTTTTTCGCACAGGTATGGCGCGAAAAAATTGTATAAGCACGAAAAATCACAGAAAAAATTAGCCGATACCCTTACACATCTGATGACTTTTTAGGATTACCCGACACCCTCGCCACGAGCATTTATTTACATTTAACTATTTATCGTCAGTCTGACAAATCGAAGGGGTCACCGTTTCTGCCATGCTTCGAATTCAAGAAGGAATATCTCATATTACAAGAGAGTTTCTTATAGCACATGGCTGGCATAGCCGTCGGAAATTTCCGTCGTCATCGGACCAAAACATACGTGCCACGGAAACACCCTTTCTCACTACTGGTTCATTATGTGAAGAAAGTATAACGCGTACGTGGGTGAATAAATGCCAACTTATGTACCACACAAATTGGGCAAACTCTACTACTCGCCAATGGTCTACAAGAATGAAGAACGGAACACACGGGTGGCAGGTACGTACTTACAGTACTCACGGATTGAAACAGGACACTTGTAGCGCGTCGCCGCAGGTGCATGTGCCGCCGCTCGTGGGTGCTCGTGGAACCAGGGTGTTACATTTTGATATAGAGTGAGGGCTAGAACAGCTACGGAGCAGGCTTACTTTATCCGGTCGCTAAAAAGTCAGCCAGTAGTTCACAATGTGCACACTGCCAGCATGGCGCTGCAAGGCTCGCGTGCTTTTGCATGCATGCAGGCCGATTTAAGTGGATGGTGCGAACTATTTATATTGTGGCGCAAGCGCCCGACGCTCTTAATCAGCGCCCTTCGACGAGGGAGCACGTGGGCTTCGCAAGTAAGAAATTGGATACCGCTAAGATGTCGCGCCTGAAATGCGCTGGTAGAAATTACAAAAAGCTGCACAAAAGCAGATAAAGCTTGTAAAGCTTCTTGCCACGACACAAAAGAAAAGCAGCAGCCATGCGTCTGTTTCCATGCAGCATCAAAACAATGACTTAGTATTTTGTTGTTTCACCCCGAGCAGCCAATATAGTGCGTCCGGCTATTCTGCGTGGCAAGCATTTGTAGAGCTGTTGGTCACGGAAGAACGAGCGAACGTCTGCTTTTTTATTCAACAATAGGCTACAGTTTGCACTAACGACACCAATACATGATATTATTCCCATGTTGCTGAAGGCAAGACTGGCACTCATTTTCTTTCTTGTTGAGGCAGAAACCAGAAGTAAACTTTTCATGACTTTGTGCACATGTTTATCATGTCTACGAACACACGCAAGGCGCAATCCCCTAACTGAATCCTGTGTCTTACTTGCACAGCAGGAGTATACCACATCGCCTAAGCACGCAGAACGAGAGAGTCGTCTGCTATGGAGAAAATAAATGGGATGCGCAGCTGCGAGTTAGTTCGGTCCACATGCGAATGTGCGTGAGGCTTCCAGTGCCACTCTGGCAGTGTACACATGGTGAACTATAAGCGGACAATTTGTTGACCAGAAGGAGTAATCCTGCTCCGTAGGTGTTCTCCTCCTCGCTCTATACCACAATGCAACACATTGGTTCCACACGCACCCACGAGTGGTGGCGCATGTACTGTATACCACACGCTCAGAGTGTCCTGTTTCAATTCGTGAGTACTGCACATATATTAGGCGAAACGCCAAGCACATGCGGCAAGCCACAGATAACGTGCGTAACGACAAGAAGAAGTCAAATTGGACACAAAAAGAAGGGAAATATACGCTAAATTCAATGGATATTTCCTGTGGAGACTTTTCGTATCAAGTTTCAGTGTGTGTGATTGGCTACTATATTCGAAATTCTGTGCAACTTCTGTGTCGTGGCTAAACTGGTCATCCATTTTCACGTAGCGGAATGGCTCATCCGTTTTTTTTTTTTTTTAATCTCTGACAGACATGGCTTTTACAGATTGTAAAGTCCTACCAATCAATACTGGGAAAAGAAAAAGCTGATTGTGAAGCCGTGTCAGTCTGTTCAATATAGGTTTTGCCGCGGCAAAATATGTTTACCCAAGGTAGAGTTCGTCTGCAAAGCTATGGCCGAGCTGCACCACTAAGCAAAAAGAAAAAAAAATTAAGCGGAGGAACTCGTACCACCAGAAGGTACAGCTTGTTTAATGCCAATGAAAGAAATAAAAAAAAAGAGGCAGAACACCCAACTCGATTTTTTAGAAAAAAGATGGCAGGCACCCAACCCTTCGCATTTGTATTTAATAATCATTGTTTGACAAGAAATAAAAAAAGAACACGTACCGTATTATATCAAATAATGTATACTGCCCCACCGGCGCCAGCACGTCCAGTGACAGCTGGAGCCCCGAAATCACGCAAGAGAACTATCGCGTTGCCGAAGAAACGGTGAAATGAGCGTAAACAACAATGAAATAAACCATCACCGTCCTCGTACTTGTGCTCGTTTTTTTAGCGGGCCAGTAAATCATCTTGTTGCGTATATCATTGCACACCAGTTCGAAACGACTACGACCGGCAGCGTGCGTGCTATTACTTATTCCGAAGCTTGGCGGCCCTCGTCAATGAGCTCGTTTTTGAGCAGGGCGACAAGCTGTTGGTACATTTACAAAACCTGTTAGCTGTCCCCCACTATTTGGACCGGCGGAGTAAACGTGATTTGCGCAAGCGTGCACCAAATTATATCGACATATATGGAAAGGATACGGAAGCTGTAGTCCTGAACGACGTATTTCACGACAAGATTTTCAGCCAATTACGTAATTGTCGTCCCGACGCATAAAAAACAAATCGACACTGAAAGTTGGGAAGGAAAATGTAAATAGTTGCAGACCGGAATAAAGGACGGACAACTTGACTGGCCAACCTTGAAAGCACAGAATTGCTGAACGCGCAAATTGATGGGGTTCGTATATAAATGACGTGTCTATTCTGCGCAAGAACTCTGCGAAGCTAGGAAAGCCTTTCGCATACTGCCAAGTGAAAATTGTCAAAAATGATGAGACAGTGAAGGCTAAAATCAAAGCTTTATTCCATCAATAGGGGTAGCAGAAGCGTTCGAAAAACATGCGCACTCTACTTTGTGTATATATGTACATTGTTTGAAAGCCACACAGCAGGTCGCGCATTATTTAAAAGAAAAGCAGAGGTGCTGCGTAGTGAAGACTGAATATGCAGGAGATGAACATTTAGACCGAAGCGTTAGTCTTAATAGCAGGGCCAGAACCTGGAAATGAAAGAAAGGTGAAAGTTAGGGACATGTGATTATCGTAGCGTTTACAATATGTAATAATCAACCTGCAACGCAGGTAGAGAAACGTGTACTGACATAGGAAAGTACACAAGCCTCCAGAATTCTGCCTACATCGAAATGCCTGCACTGCGGCCATGATCGAAACCACCTGTTTCGAGTAAGCAGCCGAGCACTATTCGGAGGCGTTGGGCACAGATTCGGTAAGACTGGACAAAACGAGGGGGGGGGGGGGGCAGAGGCGCTAAACTACTCAGCCACTGGTGCTATAACCATAACCGCTCATAGGAAGCTCATAATATCGAACAATTGACAAATCATTGGTACACTAATAAAACCACATAGAGCCCACGAAGCTCTTACATAATTGGCAGGGTTTTAAGCTCCAAAACCAGGACATGATTATGCGGGACGCCGTAGTTGTGGGCGCTGGAAGTTTCGACCACCTGGAGTTCTTTAACATGCACCCAAATCGAAGTACACATGCCTCAAGCATTTTCGCCCTCACCAAAAATGTTGCCGACGGGGCCGTGATTCGATCCCGTGACGTTCGGATCAGCCGTCGAGCACCATAAGCAATATAGACAACTGCGGCGGGTTATGAAGCTTTACTAAAGTACCTATTCTGCATCCCGCATCTAAAATAACATTTCTATTCAGTAATTGGAAGGACAAACAGTGGATTACTATTTCTTACCTCTTATAAAAGCCAGACGTGGCTAGGATGTCTTAGCAGCCGCTGGGGCCTCCGAGCTGAGGGGTCGAAACTATCAAAGGCCCCTCTATCTTGTTAGGTTCGGCTTGAGACGAAGAGCGCTGCTGTACAAAGTCTCCAGAGCAGGATACCGGTACCTTCTCACTGAAAGTCATTAACCACGCCCTCGATGCTTCGGGTTGATGTCGTTGATCCAGGGCTGGGGGTGATAACGCCTGCCCTTTTGGCACTAGTGGTGGTTGATTAAAGGCCGGTATGTTGGACGCGATGGGTCGGTACACTGGCTCAGCGGCTATTGCTTCTGAACGTGATTCAAGCACTGGCCGCTCGTCCACTTCCGACAGCGAAGGCGTGCAGCAGGAACAGAGACCACCCATTGTGCTTGTCACTTCCCCGTGCTTCTGTCGAATACTTCTCCTCAAAATGGGCAAATTTGCTCGAGTCGCTTCGGCTGTTATCGCTCGCAGTTTGTAGTAGATTTGATAGCAGGTCTTGACCTGCTTGAAAATAGGACTGCTCCCGCAAAGCACACGTGCTAAAAAAACTGCGATGGCGGGTTATGTCGAGAGCATGGAATAGCAGCTCCTTTTTAAAAGCTACTGACGAATTCAGTGATTGGACAGTAAACACCACTGAAGTGCGGACTTGTTTTTCTGGCATGATTGCTCACGCACAGACGAACACATGGGTAACGATAATAGTCTCGTGAGTAACCAAGAAAGGGTTGTCGTAGATATGGATAAAACAGTTGATAAAAATATTGTCAAAAACCTAGCTACGTGTCAGCGACGATGCGTGACATATCCTTTTTAGAGTTATGGCGCAGAAATGAAGTGCTAAAATTGGTGCTAGAGCTTGGGTGATTTGTGATACATCCGCAGCAATTACGTCTATGTAGATGCTATCAGAAAGGAACTTGCGAGTTTCGGTGCAGGAAAGGATAATAAAAAAACAGAACAAGGCAATAACTTAATGGTTCATGGTATTCGAAGTGTAGTTAAATGCGTACATGATTGATTGATATGTGGGGTTTAACGTCCCAAAACCACCATATCATTATGAGAGACGCCGTAGTGGAGGGCTCCGCAAATTTTGACCACCTGGGGTTCTTTAACGTACACCCAAATCTGAGCACACGGGCCTACAACATTTCCGCCTCCATCGGAAATGCAGCCGCCGCAGCCGGGATTCGAACCCGCGACCTGCGGGTCAGCAGCCGAGTACCTTAGCCACTAGACCACCACGGAGGGGCAAAAAATGCGTACATATCAAGCCGCGATGATAGAAACGCCAAACCAACATTCAGTACAGTTCTTCGGCTTTACTGCAACTAAAAAATAAAGTTTGACAGACAAAAGGTATACAGGGCGAATGGAATAGTGCTGATTACGTGGTGGAGATACACCCTACGTCGCCCCTTTCTTTCTTACCGCGAGAATGAACTACACGCACGATGCATTACCACGACGGACATTCATTCCTCTCACAATTTACCGGGAAATTCCGCCCGCTGTTCTGTGAACCACTTCTCTAACCTTTGGAGCCATGGTTTATTAGAACGCAACCACGACGTAGCTTCATCCGCAGCCTTAAGGCAACGTGCGCATTCTACATCTTTCATTTTGACATTTTTTATTGCGCATTACGTTACAAGTTTTTCAACTACCTGGTACATCTAATGACAAAACTGAAACAAACAAAAAAGCACGTGAATGCAAGTCGCATAAGTATAGCTAACCGTTACAATATCTTAACTACACAAGGTGTTTGAGGAATGTGTCCGAAAATCCTCAGAAGTAAGGTATAGGTAATACTTGCTTGCTGTCTTCATAACTACTTCTTCTATATGTTAAGATCACTAGAAACATTAAATGTGGCAGTAAATAAATAAAGCAAATGAACTTTTTATTTTTTAATTAGTGAATACAGGTGGTCTGGTCAGGTTGATGTTTAAGGAAGTTTGTCCAAAAACATCTCGGCTTGGTATTTTCGGACAGACTTCTTGAAACGTTCTCTATACGCAGCCACCGTTGATGCGAGGTTCTCTACTCGTAGGCCTTCACAAACGCATTAAAAAAACAGCCAACAACAAAAATCATCTATTCACATGTGAAGCTCTTCAGTTTAGCTAGCAAAAACGGCTAACCATTATTAAAACTTTGTCTGATTCAGCGAGAACTTAGATGGCTCTTTGCACCCGAGTGCTCTGTCGACAGTGAGGGAAGCGAAGAAACATTACTAGAATCTTCAAGGAGCCACAACTGGACGGCTTGTAGCCATTGGGACCTCGTCATGAGCACAACTTCAGCTTGTCTATACAGTCATGCTGACAATCGCTTTGACAAGTTCAGTATATTATGTAACTCCTCTCGTTAGGGATTAACTTTTTGCACCTACTTGGTAGCTCAATGATTAAGTTATCCTGCCACTCAGACTTTCGATTTCCGGCTGTTTCGGCTATATGTTAATGGAGGCGGAATGCAGAAACACACGTGTCGTTAACAGTTAAACGTAACTTAAAAATAGGATCCTCGATAGTAAAAATTAATCCGGGACCAAGTTGCTCAACAGTGTGAATTTGGTGCATAATCTTTGTGCGTGCGTGTGCGTGCGTGCGTGTGTGTGTGTTAACACTGAGTGTCGACGCTTCCTTTGAATAATATCTAACTCTAGCAAGCCATGATGAAATTGATTTCGATGGTGCATTTGTTATTGGTAAAAATATACTATGTTTTGTTAAAAGGTAGCTAAAGGTTGAGCCTACACCTAGCTTTGGCAAATTCTGCGCGAAAACGGTGCAAATAGCAGAAGATATTTATTTGAAGATCCATGACGTGTGCTCTGTTTTGTCGCAGTGATGAAGCAGAGCTGGTGTTTATCGTCATGAAAATGTTAGAGGGAAGGTCGATCGTATAGCAGTCGTGCCCGTGAAGACCAAAGTGTTTATTAGAATGAATTATGCCTAGCAAAACGAAACACAATAACATCATCGACGATAACGGTTGTGGAGTATCTGTTCTCAGCGTGATAAGCTTCGAAAATTTTACACGTGTCATTGTAATACATTCTGTATTACTATCTATGTAGCGTGTGGGTAACAGAATCTACTGAACCATTCTCGTTATGCGCACTATTCGATTACAACATGTCAAAGCTTTCCAAAAGGTTCCTACACAATCAAGCATGTTCTGTGCCGTGTGATATTACAATGTGAAAGTTTGAAACGGTGAAATCTGGTCGTAACAAAAAATTAACAAGTATGTAGTTGAGTATTATTATTACTTTCTAGTGTGAGATTAAAAAAAATAGCAAAATGCTTACTTATAAATGTAATTTACCTATCAAATTGATTCTACTTTACTTAAGGGATGAAATATTTGGCTGTTTGCATTCTGTCTCCCGTGTTAGGAAATACCAATCACTTGACTTCGCAGTTCACGGAACCTGAAAGTTGTACGTACTTGAAAATCAGGAAATGCCTCCCATCTGAAATTATAGCCTGTGCGACGCTGCAGAGCAACCGTGCGAGTTTATCAAAAAAAGGTAAACTTAGCTATAGAGTTTAATAAAATTTTTTTTCATTCCAAAATGAAGTTTTTTCATTGTATTCTATTAGCTATAGAGTTCGTTTTTGTTTAAGACTATGATCTCTCACTGCTGCCCTGCTCGATTATAACCCATCACAACGAAGCACTGTTACAGTTCCTATAGCTAACAATCCACAGCAGCAAACATTTTTCTTGCTACCACCAGCCAAGTCATATGGGAGTGTGCGAGTAATGCATCATCGCGTCGTCTAGCGCGGATTCGATTCCTGCGCATGTGCGCCCCTCGTTGCGTTTCTGCAAATGTTAAAAACGCTTATGCGAAAGTGAGCTCCATGACTGCAAATTAAAGCCTTAACTCCGGTTAGTCGGTGTGATTGCGGGGCGCCGAAGCAGTATTTTTCGCTGTTCTTTTACTCCCGATGGCTGGAGTTATCGCGCGGGAACTCCGGAGTATTTTTCGTCCTTCTTAGCCGCTGGCGGGCCGAAGTTATTTCGTGGTGCCTGCGGAGTATCGGAGGCACGTCTTTCTTCCACTTTGACAGAGTTTTGGTGAAAAGCATGGAAGCATCTTGTCACTTACATAGCACTTACATAAGCACTACCAACGGGTAGTGCTTATGTAACGACGGGTAGGGCTAATTTCCATATAAAAGTCTAAATTGATAGCATCATCGCGTCCATCGCATGTTCCGGAGGCGGCTGCATTTTCGATGGAGGCGAAAATGCTACAGGCCCGTGTGCTCAGATTTGGGTGCACATAAAGAACACCAGGTGGTCGAAATTTTCCGGAGCCCTCCACTACGGCGTCTCTCATAATCATATGGTGGTTTTGGGTTCATGCTTAGCGAGCCACAAAACCGCGTGTACTGTAGCCTGATCAAGTGGATGTGCTCAAAATACACAGTATTAATCTAACAACACACACACAAACACTTGACTTGCCTTTGGCGGTACCTCAATAACCAGCACTATATAGGTCCACTCTTGGGACGCGGGGGCCACACGTGTTCGCTACACCAAAAGAAGGAACCATGAGGACGTCGCAGCAGGTAAATGGCAAGCTTCGGCATGTCGCTCAGGAAAAGGTCCCTCGCAGCTATCCTGCGCGTTTTCGCGATGACCCCTGTGACTGATCGCGAGAGCTAGGACAAATCTTCGTACACGCGGATCTCGGGAAGTGCGACTCAGCGTGACCATGCACGAGACCACGCACGAGCACTATATAGGTACTGCTATTTGGCTTATCGTGCGGAACCAGAGCTAACGCAAAGGTAAACACGCCCACCGAAGATGCCGAGGCACCCAGGCAGGCATTGATTGATACGTGAGGTTTAACGTCCCAATACCACCATATGGTTATGAGGGACGCGATAGTGGAGGCTTCCGGAAATTTCGACCACCTGGAGCACCCAGGCAGGCAACAGTCCGGTGATTTCCAAAGGGAACGTCGGACAGAAAAACACGCGCATGCTATGCATGCACCGCGGAGAACTAGTCCCAGTGCGTACGTGACTTGGTCACGCCGAATCTTTCGGCCTGAGACCACGCGCAACGCCACCACGAGAGCCCTCACAGGAGCATCGGTAACTACCCCAGCAAGCGAGAGGGAAGGGTACGGTAGCTCGGGAAGGCGTTAGCAGAAAGACGAAATGCCCGCGGAGTGGTTATGGGCTCGCCTCAGATACCGAAAACTGCCACAATGTACACACAAGCATACTGCTTATTTTGACACTTTCTTCTGTATGATGTAACCTATACGAGTTTATATGTGCATCATTAGTTCCAAATGTGACGTAATAATGTGAGTGATATGGCAGCACAGGATTTTTTTTTTCAGTATAGTGTAAGCTGCGAGAAAACTTCTGGCATGCCTAAGCTGTCTTCACTATTGCTGGCAGGCAGTTTGCATCGGAAGCAAAAGACTACATTCAGCAGGTAAGTCACACTGTTGTTATGGCAAGGCAATTTACGAAAAGAAAAAAAAAAGCCTTGGTTTTGCCGCAAGGGT